CAAACGGCTCTGGGCTAGCAGCCAAGGAACGAAGACACCTGCCCAGCTACAGCTCTTCCAGCCGCCTTCCTTTCGCCCAGCGCCGCCCCCGCTCCTTGGATGAGTAATTCGGCTTTTGTTCTCCATCCCCCAGAGAGTTTATATTTCAATGCTAATGATCCCAGGGTGTCTGGACAGATTGCCTGGCTGTTCTTCCCCCGGGGGGAGGGATCTTGGCTGCTTGCAGAGCTTTTCTTCTAAAGAAAGCGCCTGTGAAGTATAACAAATAACCTCCGCCTCTCTCTCAAGCAGCATCATGCTGCTACGAAATCCCCAGCCAGAGGGGGCCACCCCCTTCAAATGCCACCTCTGGGGCGAATCTGAAACTTGTCTTTAGAAAAGAAAGCAACCGAAAGAAAAACAAAATACTAGCAAGCAAATCAGATTAGCTGCAGTTTAAAAATACTAACCCAAATAAAGGCCCTGTGAGTGGCAGGCTGGATCCATTCTCTGTATGGGAGAGATCACAGCAGTTCTGGAAAACGGTTTCTTCAAGCCTGTACTGTGTCCCCCTCCTTCGCCATTCCTCCTTGTAGAACGCAGCATCGGGCCAGAGATCATTTGCACGGTAGAGACGAGATTCGGATCACTACATCTAATTACACAGCAAAGCAAATTATTGAAAGTGCTGGTGTCTTGATGGCACCAATATTGCCAACCCCAGATGTTTAGAAATCATTGGATTTTTTTTTTTAAAGTTCTGCGTTGTTTTGATTTGCCTTCTATATTTTGAACCTTTCGATTTCATGACGTCAAGCTTTTGTCTTCAACTGCGACGGCCAGAAAAATCCTTATGCTGAGATTCTCCTGTCATAACTAATGCCAAGAGCTGGGGCTTTAAGAGCACCACCAAAAAGCGTGAGACTGGTGCTAAAATTAAGAGTTGGCAACACTGATAATAAACAGGAACCTGCGTCTTGATGCAAAGTAAGACTGAGAATGCGAATTCCCCTTAGAAAGCACTGGGCAGTGTAAGTTCCATTGTTCTGAAAAACAAAACCACTGTTGCCTCCCAGGGACACGATCAGCCTAAACGTGCCCCAAAATATAGGCCTGCGGAAGGGCTAGCGGCAGCTTTTATTCAAAACACGTTAACGCCATGGGAATTCTTTTAAAATTATCCTCAGCAGAGTTTGCACCCCAGACGTTACAGCATGGGGCCAGCGCATGTAAATTGGTGACCAGTGTGACCTCACTTGCTAAGCTGGACCCCAAAAAGCAAAGGGCATTAAACACTGAAAAGTAAATTAGAATGTAAAGAATCTCACTCTTGGTTTGGGGGTGTGAACTGACTTGTCACCATTTCGGGCACTGGGTGCTAGACTGGGGCCCAAACCCCTAGATACAAACACCTTTCCCCCCTTTACTGAACGTTCAGGTCTGGATCTGGATCCTGGCTTAGCCTCAGGCCCATCTCTAGCAAACTCTCTAGTTGCTGGGTGAGAATCTCCAGCTCCTGCTGCTGGTGGACAGAGGGCAGCTCTCCAGCCCGTTCCCTGATGTGATTCCTCACTATGTTCACCAGCTCACCTGGAAGTGGTGTGGCTTGGCTCTGCTCTGGGTTCCATGCTCCGCAGTTGGGAGCCGGTCATGCTGTTGGAATCAAGGTAATCAAAGTAAAAGTTGAGAGCATTTTTAAGGCTGTCACAGTGAATGTGAACAGGGCCCTATATGGTAAAGTGGGAGACACGCAAAAAGAGAAATTCACTAACATGATCTCTTCTGCCTCTCATCAGGACCGACAGCTTATAACCATACTGTGATTGTGCAGTGCGCTCAGTGATCTATGTAGTCCTCCACCTTCACTACTCCTGTGTAAAATGCCCACCCCATCCCTGTGTCGGAGCGAGCCACAAGCAGGCATCTGTCTCTGTGTTAGTTTCACTGGAGTTTCTTTCATCAGGCTTCCCTTCATCAGGTGGGAAGTGAAGAGGAAGACGCATAAGTTTGTGGTGCGATGGCTGACTCGGCAGGAAGATACGTCACCTACTATTGGATAGGCTGGACAAGGTGAGATCGGTTCCGTGACCATGGGTTGGAGAGGCTGGTGGGGACAAGTGGCCCTAATTCCAACAGAAGGCCACATGAACCAGGTAATGTGAGAGCCAAATGCTGGGCCATCCCCCCCCACTACACCAAATTCTGCCCTCAGATAGCTGTTGTCCTTTCATCCACTGTAATAGGGACCATGGCTGTGTCAGAGGGTGGAAGAAAAACATCTGCTTCTGGCACAAAGCAGCATGCACATCACTGCACCTTTGCGCTCACCCCAGAAAGCCTATGATTGCTCCAGCTAGCTCCTGGGGTGCTTGTGCTCTGGACGTTAAAGCGAAAAATGGAAAGACCCAGACATAACCTACTTTCTTCACCTTAATTCTTTGTGTCTCCCTACTGTGGGAGGAAGCCAGCAGTGACAGCATTAGGGACCCTACAGTGACAAACTAGCATACGTGCTCAGTGAGGAAATGCTTCAGTTTTGAATTTCTAAGCTAGACTATGGCTGCTGCTAAGGGATCAATGCACTGCCCCCTCTCTACTTAGTGGTCACAACCAGACTTGTGGGTTTTTCAGGGGAGAGGGCTGTGATGGCATAATCCCTTCTTCTGCCTTTTGCCCTCCACCGGAGCTCTGTCTTTGAGGGGAGGCTGCTAGCTACTTCCCGAGCAGCAGAACCTTTGACAGGAGTTGCTGACACCTCTCATCTCCCCTCAGCAGTGTTTTCCATAGGAGGCCTGGCACTATGCTCCCCCGCCCCCATCCCAGCATACTAGCACCTGCTCACAGATTGCCGGTTTGGCAATACCCCACTTGGCAAAGACCTCGCTGCAATTTTGGAAAAGGTCAACTGGCTCCAATGGGCAGGAAATAACTTCCCCACTATTTCAGTTTCAGGCTGTTTGGCAATTGGTCACTTGGATTGCGATGCTGCCAATGGGACTGTAAGATCCCCAGGGCAAAGTGTGTACCAGGCCCATACGTGGAGACACCATCATCTCCATGGACTCGAGCAAGGAAAGTGGAGGTAAAATTAACTATGGCTGGGCCAGGCCATTTGCAGCAACCACTTAGCACAAACTCTGCAGGCAGAATCTCTCCATCCAGTGGGCTTTGGGGAAGTGTTCAACTTCTTTAAATGACCAACTGTTTTGACAGAGGGAAATGAGATGATTCAGGGGATTAGTAATGGGAATGGAGCATTTCTCCTGGGAGGTGGCTTGCTGAAATACAAACTAGTTTAGTAGCTGCCCAAAGCTGGTGCCATCCATTGACATTGTGACGACCGACGTGAGGTGAACGGGAGGGCTTACTGCCAGCGTTAGCCAGATCTCCACATCGGTATTAGCTCCTTTGGTAGCACTCCCAGACCAAGCCACAGGCTTTTGGGCCCGGAGATTGCACTGTTCCATCAGACCTAGAGGTGGGCGCTCCATGTCAGAGCGGAGGCCCTGTATAGGAAGGCTTCTCTCCATTTATTCATGTGCTTGTATGGTCCCCTTGACTATAGGTCCTGAGCCTGCATTGCTCCTGCCAGTGCTGCATCTGTTGTGTGAATGGAGGATTCCAGTTGTCAGGGAGAGCAAGGTGGCACTTTTCACGGGCAATTAATTCACTTGTTTAAAAAACTAGCTGCTACTTGACACTGTCAAAATTGAGCCCGTTGGCTGCACTTGCTGTGACAGGGCCATTTTATCCAAGCTCCTGCCTACTTGATCCAAATAATCAGTGGAAACAGCTTGCCCAGCAAACAGGGACTGGCACAAGTATCCTCAGACAGGGAAAGTGTGGTGCCAGCTCTCGCATTCACTAGCTGGAAATCCTAGGCCTACAGGGATCTCAGGGAACTACATTCCATCCTCAGTACCCATGTAAAGGAAGCAAGAGATGCCTTCATTTTGCTGGTTACTCCAGTGTCTGGCTATGGCAGTCCCCACTCTTCACTGCTGATGTAGCTACAATGGCAGACGGGAGCACTGCTCAAGCACTAGGGATCTGGAAGGCGAAGGAGACCAGCCCCAGGAATGGCGCTCCTACAGCCTTGGCGTGTGTGTGTGTGGAATTAGGTGGCAAAAGGGCATTTGCCAAATGTAGGGCTGAGGTAGACGGGTTATGTCTACACTGTATTAAAACACCCATGGCTGGCCCATGTCAGCTGACTCAGGCTGGAACCTGGGCTCTGGGACCCCAGGAGAGTCCTATAGCCATGACTCCAGCCCAGATGTCTACGCTGCAATTTCACAGCCCTGCAGTCTGAGCCGGAGTCAGTGTTTTTAGTGCAGTGTAGACATACCCTTGGTTTCTGTCCTTGCGGTTTGGCAGTAGTACAGGGAAAGGGCAAGCAGTGCCCCTGCCTTTGGCTCCTGCTGCTTAATTCATGGCCACTCACTAAGAAGAACATGGCTGAGGCACCTGATCTTGCATCTATTAGCAGGACCTTGCTGGCTGACTCAGCTGGCCAGGCCTGTGTAGGCTCAGTTTGTCTAATTGCTTATTTGGGCTGATTAGCTGCCATTGAGAGGTATTCTGATGATTGGTAAAATAGATGCCCTGTTTTCAGGTGTCTAGCTTTTGTGAAGTAAGGCTGGTGGTGGACACTGGTGAAGAGCAGAGAGGCTGTCTTGTGGAAAGTTCTCAGTATGAGGGCAGACATCCTATTGCTGGTGATCATATACTTCAATGTCTGTGCTCAGCCAATTCTTCATCTATTGTGAATTATAGGGGTGGTGTTGGCTTCTTAAACTTATCATTGCAGGTTGTGTCAATTAGTCAGGGATTTCAATGCTCCCTACCCAGAAAGGGCACAGATGAAAGCAACTCCTGTGCTCTACAGGGTCATGGTAATATACCAACAATGCTGTATGTGCTTGAAAATCATTTCCTCTTTGGGGATGGTTTGTGGGGTGGCCTACGCTGCCAAACCATTCACCCAAACAAATGGGGGGAAAAAATCGATGAGACAGGTGTTCAGCGAATCTCCACTTTAATACTGTAGAAGGATGAAGGATTCTTTGCATAACTAACATGATTCCAACAGCAGAAGTCAACAGTTGTTGATATTTTAGAGTAACACCATTTCCTTAGACGGCTTCTGCAGCTCATTATTTAAAACGTTTCTCACAGGCTTTACACTATTGCCCAGTGTCCTTACTCTCCAACAGCTACTACTTAGCTGTGACTTATCACATTTTGTTTCGTGGGAACAGTTGCCGTGGTGTAATCACATTGTACTCCACAGGAATGAACTGCTGTCAATCCTCACCGAATATTTCAGGGGAAAACAGACAGCAGGATCTCCACCCAGGCATAGACCAGCTGCTTTCCTGTGCTGCAGCAACACAGCATATGGATCATGAGTGCTAAACCATGTATACACATGGGTAAAGAATCATCAGAAGAGACAACTGTAAGTTTTCCAGGACTAGCTTTGCCTCCCACTCCACTGCTGTCCCCTTGAGTCTTGACCCTTATGTTCCTTAGTGGCAACTGGCTTCTGGAACATAAGGGGAAACTGCTTTTTCCCTGACTGTATCTATTTAAATAACTTTTCTACATAATTAATTACCAAACTTACTCCCCATTAAAGATGAGTTCATAACTTCACACTAAAACAGATTTGATTTTTTGCATAGTCAAATCCTTATATCTCCCCTTCCCCCAGCTAACAGTCAGCACACCAGAGTTTACAACACAATCACTTCAACACCAAGCAAATATTCCAGAGCTGTTTTTTCCACTCATGCCTGTGTTGCTCCCAGATCAGAGTAGCAGTTCTACTGTCATCTAAAACACTCAATGGAATAGCAGCAGAGGTTTGGTAATCGGTTACTGCAATCTTTGCTCCCCCACTGAGGAGAGTAAGATGGAAAGAGTAAAGGAAAGTTACTTCTGCATTCTGGTAAGTCAGAGCTTTTTACAGAATCCCCCCAGATGCATTGTCCTGATGAGCATCACCATGGAGAGCAGCCAGTGCATCCAAACGGAACAAGCAGCTGCTGCACTCGGGCAGCACTAGCACAGGACAGTGCTGTGAGAGCTCCCTGCTGCATTTACATACGGAAACAATGGAAGAGTGTTTTGGATGAATGACTGTCAGTCAGCTGCCCATCCATTGCTTGTTTTTTCTGTTTGTTGTCATGTGCACTGCTTTGCACTGCACCGGCTGTATCTGAGCCTGGGAGGGGAAGTGAAGCAGTAAGAAGGGATTCCCAAACCTTAGTCCACGAAGCATGTTACATGGGTGGACTTGCTTGTGCTAAGGCGGGGTACTGTGGGAGATGAGTTCATTTTCTGGATATAAAGCTCTGAGTTTTTCCATAGTGCTGTGAAATAATCCAAAGATTTGGTCCTGCAGCATCAGGTTTGGTATACCTAGCCCCCCTGAACTGTACTTGCCAGGCCTGCTTACTGTACACCGTGGGTTTTTACTATACCATGATTCCAGGGTAATCATGGGGATGAAGGAGAGGATAGGTTTTGCCTCCTCTTGGAGGGGAAAGAGAAAGCTGATGGTAATCTCAACCTCCTCTACATGACAGGTGGTTTGTTGTCTATCAATATTTTGAGGTCACTCAACTACTTTGGCTCAAGGACTCTTCTGGGGCTAGCACTAGTACTAACCATATTGGTAGCACTAGGCCCTTGACTGCTGTGGTCAAGCCTCCATCAGACTATTCCTACTTAACACACACAAGACTGTAGGGGCTGAATCAATGTTTTACTATACACTTTAATTTGGCATAAGACCTAGCAGAGTTGTGGTAGAAGCCTTTGAGTTACAACAGTCTTCAATCCAAATCAACACTTTTAGCAAAACAACTTTCTAGGGCTGAAATAATTCATCACCCCCATGTTCCTAGACTAGGGTTTCTTCACCGATGGAAAAGTGTTTGTGCTCTTCTATTGCTCCTTTGGAATGAATCAGAAAGACAGCTACAAAGTGCCACCTTCCCCAAACCATTTTTTGCTTTTCCATCAGAAAAATCAAGGCTTGCCTTCCCTCTTTTTGCTGGAAACTGTTAGTGAGACATGCTTGAACCCAGAACTGTAGTGAGAGACCGTTTAAGACATCTCACCACCCCTTTTTTTAACCTGAAGGGTGCAGCTAAAGTTTCAGCTTTGTGCAAAGATCTTTCTATAGTAAACAGGGAAGATCTGCTAATCCTGAAGTAAAGATGAGCAGAGTTCCTTTAAAGTTAGGTGGCTGTACGCTGCAACAGGCCCCACCTTTATAAAACAAGCTGCAACACAGCCACAGTAAACTAGTGCATTAAGGCAGCAGTTCTCAAAGCATGTCTGCTATGCAGAGCTTTTTAATGCAAGCTAAAGTTTAGATAATAGCATAAATATCTAATACTGCTGGCCAGGCAATGGACTGTGGTTCTCTTGGTACTTGTGAGATTGCTCTCTCAATAATGAATGACAGGGCAGAAGCTGCCAGGGAACAAGATTACAAGGAACTGAAGTATGGTCATGGAAGGGAAAAAAATAGGGAAAGGGAGACTCATCCACCATCTCATTACCAACCACCTGCAACACCACTCACTGGGCTTCTAGACAATTCACATGTGTACATTGCAAGTACTGTGCTGTACACCTCCCAAGCCCACTTCGTGTGGGATGCACATAGAGTACAAATCTGCATTTAACTCATTGCACTTATGGACTACTAGGTCTCAGATGATCGAGTAGTTCCTTTAAAAACCTGTATGGAAGGAGGAACAGGAGGGGCTAGTAGGGTCATGGGAAGTACAATCTATCCTCCCCTGCCCATAAGAGAATGCAATAAGTGGCTCCCCTTATAAACAGCATTACTAAAATGCAATTTTTGGCAGCCTGCCACTAACCTGAAGAAAGGAAAATAGCAGATGGACTCTGAGCACAGTACCCAACTCTCTTACAATGTGGAGCACAACATAATGAAATGTCACTGTCCCAAAGTTAAAACAAATATAAAATTGGAGATGACTGTCTAGTTCCTCTTTGAGGAAAGTTCAATTACAACACAACCAGCAGTTTTAACAGCTCTTCTGAATGAAGGAAGAACAGCAACATTTACAGTATGAAAATAAGCCACAGCTAGCCATTTTAGATTCCGCCATGATCAAGTATAACAGATCTTTCACAGTGCTCAACCATAAGGGATGGTCAGAAAAGCTTCCTCAGAGGCCACCTACCTCCACTACAGCATTAAGACGTCAAACTCTACAGATGTCTATCTGCAACCTCTTCATTACAGCTTAGTGTGGACCGTATAAATGTTCCAACTGCCCAGGCTTGCCACACCAAGATGAAAATGTCACACTGTTAATTTGATCCAGATTCTGTACAAGGATCTTTCTCAGAGTTCAAAGAGTGCTATATTTTGATTAACACTGTGTACCAGTCTGGAATATGTTCACAGAAGCTGTCTCTAGCTTCTCCAAGCTTTAGAGACCGTCTGAACTTTCAAATGTAATATTGTACCAGACTCACTCTCTCTATATTTACACTTCTAACAAAGGATTATCAAAAAACCCACCATTTAACTATTTCCAGTAGCTGGATTCATTTGGTGATGCCACAGTCCATTATTTATGACATAATTAAATGAAAAGGCAACAGGAGCAAGCAGATTTACAAGGAGAATAGGACTAAAGACACTGAATTTGCTAGCTCGCAGCACCATCTAGACAGACGTACTTAAGCACAGCAGTTTAATAGGCTTCTGGTAACATGTTATAGTCTAAAATTTCCTTAAGTGGAGGAGCAGTTCTGTACAACTCATTTAATTAAGAATTCTTGGAGAGAACACAACACAGCATATTGTAATGTAAGTGGGGAACTGCGTGTGCAACTACCAGTGAAAAGATGTCTGTTCCCACATTCTACAATGAACAACTAGCACTGAGCCCTATACTGAAATTACAGTATCAGGCAGTTAAATAGAATTAGAAGTGGGAAATCTTCCTTCCTCTACTGAAAATGGCTCTCCTGGTTTTTATATAGGCTCAAGTTTTCTGACGTGTCTAAAGTTAGTCATTTCACAGGATGCTGTTCCAAATATAAAACAAACAGGTTAGTATATTCTCCAGTGACAAGACACAGCAGCAGTGGGTGCACATACCCAAATCCGCTTTGTAACAGCAACACTGAAGTGCCAAGCATTGAAAGGTACAGTGTCAGGTCCACACAGATTCCTATTAAATCTAATGGGAGTTACATAGTTAGCTTCCTGGATCTCCCACTGAAAAGTTACTCTTGAAGAGATATTAAATGCAAGTGTGATTATAATGGACCAAGTCTACTTAGCTTCCAATATGCACAGCAAGAGTATAACAGATCCTAGAGGAAGCAAAGCATGTATTTAACACACCAGTGATAAATTTAACTTATTTCTGACAAACTAAATCAAGGAATATTTCAGGGCTTGTCTACAGTTTCCAAGTGGGTTAAGCTAAACAGCAACAAGGCATTCTTGTTCCAGAATAAGGGCTGATCCACCAAGTTATTCAGAAACAGCTACTGTGCTTTAAATTTGCAATCTACCTTAATCTGTATTAACTTTCTAGTATAGACAAACTCTCAGTTAAAGGTGATCTGCAATTTTTTTTTTAAATATAGAAGGCCTGTATGGGAAATGCTACCCAAAATAGAGATAAGGGCACATTAAACAAACGAATGTCCCATTTAAGAGTGAAGGGCAGTTATCCCTAATCCTGCAGGAGCGAGAAGGCATATAGTACATGCTTACTTTCCATGTTACAACGTAAGTGTTCTGTGTACAAATTCAATTTTTTTTTACATAGGCAGGTTATTGTAATTTAGTCTGAGAGCCACAATACTGCCATGCAGAAGCAAGTTTAGTTAGGATTAAAGTCTATTTCAGTGTTTAACAAAGAAATATCTCATTAAAGCTGAAATCTCACTTTCAAGGGTATCCTGAGGAAGGAACCCACTGAATGGGCTTATACTTGAGCAGCATGCAGTTTTAGCTATCAAGATTTGCTATGTATGGGCACTAAGTAACTCCCACTTTTTGGCCTGGAAAGGGCAATTCTTTTTTTAAAAGAAAAGCGTGGTTGCCTTAAACTTTTCTAAATTAATCTGAGTCAGAAGGCCAGGAGCAGCAATTTAAAGAAAAGGGGGGGGGGGGCTTTTAAATCAGTTTTGCAGTATAAAACAGCTATTTGGATTTATTTGTCCCCACACCTATGCTGCCAGGTTACCTTCTACACCAAAGTTTTGGTACTGACAGCTTTTAGCAACACTTAAATAAAACAGTGACTCATTAAGTCTAATTTCCAATTCACTGTGACAAAACTAGACTTAAATAACAATGTTGTGAAACAAAACTGAAGTGCCAGGCAATTCAAAGGTAACGTAAGGATTGGGGAAATAATGATGAACTGGAGTCTCTCCCTTAACTTTGCATGTTCTGGCTTTTTGTTTGTCACAACAGTGCTTAACATTTCTAAAAAATACTGGGTCAGGAAAAATTAAGACATCCTAGTTGTGTGTGTGTTAGTATACATTTAGGGTGCAAGCTCTGGGCCATATTCTACCCTGTGCATGTATAAATTAGTCAATGGATGTGACATATCCAAGGAGAGAATATGGCCCATATCATTAATATTAAATACCTTTGAAGTTTATTTATCAAAATATTGTATGTTATTTTAAAACTTGACAAATCACTTGCCAAACGGTAACAGCAGTTTAACAGAGGCAGTCATTCAGTTACACAACAGCGAAAAGCACACTCAGTGGGCTTGAGGCTTGTATAATCAAGATTTAAAGAGTTTTAGAAAACGTTTACCCTCAGCCTAGAGTTTATCAACTTTTGGCTTACAGTGCAGTAAACAAGTTAAAGCGCTGCCGTTAACTGCAGCTGCCTCAGGTAGGGCAGCACAGTCTTTTTGTAGTTCACAAATACACAGTATGTAAGATTCTGCTGAGATGTCCTGCAAGTTTGTTTTGCTCATGATTCTAACACGTCCAAGCTACTTACTGAACTGTGTAAGGTCAAATCAATACTGCTGTTATGAGACCAGTCTAGCACAGTGCCAGTAGCCTGTTAGATACAGACTCAAGTTCACATTAGATTTCATGTCAGCAGTTATGAGCCATATCTCCCCTTTTATTAATCCCATAGGGTCCAAGACCTTGCTGCTCCTACCACTTAGTATTTTCAAAAGCAGAATTTGTCTGCACCCTTAAAAGCAATCTCTCTCCGCACATGTCTCTTATAGCTTTGCACTGGAGTGAAGATAGCCAGAGTATAAATTAATGCATTTACTGACATCAACGCTACTCCTCCGGTGCCTTCTTTCCTTCCTAGTGAGCAACTTTTATTAGCTTGGAAGTGCTGCACTGTTGGCTGGTGATCAGCTTCCAGTAGTCAATGAAATACTGTCCCAAGGAACCATTAGTCTATGTCTAAAGCTGACAAGAGTGGCATTTGACAAGGGAAAGGGGAATATGTGGCAGCTTAGGATGTTTCCAGGCTTCATATGGGTCACACCTGTAATGGATGAAAATATTAACAGTGGTAAACTCCTTCTGAATTGCCTTTTCCATTCTAGGTCTAAATCTAAGCCACTCCACATAGGACGGTGAGAGAGAAGAGGGCCGGTTGTCCACACATCAGTATGTCCCAGGTACAGAAGAATTTGGGATCACGTCCGTCCTTCATTTTCCCCTCAGGCAAGTTGATGAGGCTTAGAATCAGATGAAGAAGTTGCAAGAGTCATGCCATAGGTGTTAGTCCACAACAGAGAACAGGAAGGTCCAGATGTAAGTTTTCATGACAGGAATCTCAGAGTGGAGGGAAATGATAACCAAGTTTCATTTCCCCATTTTTTTTTGAGGCGGGGGCACAAGTCCAAGGGAGGTTAGTCCATCACAGCACAAAAAACAGGATAAGCACCACCAGTAAGATAACAAAGAGAATGATGATTGCACACCACTGCCGTCGATCTGGAAGAAAAAGGAAACATCAGTTTTCTACTTCCATGGGGAGGGGAAGAGGAAGAAAGCTTCCTCCATTGCGCTACGAAGGACCTAATTTAAGCCAGAAAGAAAGGAAAGTCTGATGGAAGCCTTTTAAACTAGAGCTACATAAGGAACAATTCAGCCAGACTCTCCTTAGGAGAATCCCAGGAGCCAGATTTTGCCACAGCAGTATTACTACGACTGGAAGCAAAGGTGCACCAGCCATATGTAACTCAGCCCAGCTCCCACCCTTTGAGAACTTTGCACCATTATATATATATATACACACATACATACATACACACACACACACACACACACACACACGTTATGCCTTATATTGCTTCTTGAAGATTTTGCACAAGAGCTCTCCTCACCTCCACCTTAGGGCTTTTGGGACACTGGAAATTTCAGCAAGAGGAACGGCCACCAGTAGGAAGGTGAGACTAACCTTTAAAGTAACGCTCCATAGCAAAGAATTAGTTAAACCTCCTTTAAAAGTTGTCAAGACTACCTTGATTTCCTCTTCTATTTTCACCTACCCCTGACCTTAAAAACATCTGGTCCTAACTTCTTTCTTTGTTGGGGGCTACAGCAAGATCCTGAGGGGATCTGGATGGTGACCACACAGTTCGACACTAGAGCTGCAGCTTAATGGAGGGAGAAAAATAGAGTTTTAGAAGCAGAATTTGTCAAAGCACTGGAAAGAAGTCTGGAGGTTCTCTAGCCATCATCAGACCAGGTCCTGGAAAAACTCTGTGTTATGCAATGCACTTTTAAAGGATGAAGGAAAGACTCATCTCCCTGCTGGTACTCCCCACAGGCTATAACTGCATTGGCAAAGCTAGGCCCATACTTCACCACTAGCGCAGTTCCACAAGTGGTGGAAGCTGTAGACAGAGCTGTTTGTATCACTCATCTAACCATGCTCACACCATAACTTCCATTATTGCTACAGTTAGCAAAACTGCACTAAAGGAGACCCACAGGTCTCAACTTTTGTAGTGCTGAATCCTTAGTTTAGGATGCAGGTACTAATAGAAACCAAAAGCCATCATTTCTAAAAACGTCAGTCTTTCACAACAATTGAAGGAAATTGAAGTTTATTTTCTGATCATTAAACCGTGTCTGGGGGAGAAAACACCGAAGTGAGTTGTTTGCCAGCTGTCTGTACTGCTAAGTGACATGTCACTTCAATTGAATGTTCACCAGCAGGACTGACCCAAATGCTGCATTAATCCAACAGTTTGATTTCAGATGCAGTTTGTATATGGCAGAAAGCACTTCTCACCATGATTCTGTGATGCTTACTGCCTGTGGACAGTGACCCACAGAACATCAGTTCTGAAAGGCAACTGACGCTGATAGTACCTTTCTTCTATCTGATTCCTGTAATATACCCACTGCTTCCAGAGATACATGAAGCAACCATGAAAGAGAAGATAATACATTTAGGTAGACTATTACAAAGCCCACACACACTGTTTATAAATGAAAACAACTCTGGGGAGTGACACTTCCTGGAAGTCAGCCTACACAATCAATCATACTTCCTGTTTTTATTATCCTTAGCATCCTGTCAGCTCTGGGACCCCCTTTCAGGGTTCAAGTAGTGCCTTTCCCCCCCACCCCCTTGGAGGCTACACCTGCCCAGACACCATCTTTCCTCCTAACGAGGGCAAGGAGCTTTTCATCTGACACTGTTCCAGTGTAAAGCTAAGACTTAAACTAAGCCTGTTCTTGGAGTCTTTATTCTGAACACTGAGGTACAGGGAAAGACCTGGAGCATGAATTGCACAACATGATTAATTTAGAGCATTTCTCATTCATTTCCTGTTGCATTTTAGAAAAACTAACCTGATGTCTTTCAGTTTTCATGTGAGAATCTTACCAGCTGGATGCATGAGCTCACCATTGGCTTCAGGCTTCAAGACACAGATGAATGCTGAGGAGGCATTGCTAGATTTGAGGTGTTTTTTTGGCAACCAATCCAATGAGATACTAGAAGCCTTCAATAATCTCTCCCTCCTCTCACACGCTCTACAATTAAGCTATTTGCTTTGGCACCTTTGAGATTTACTATCCACAGCCTTTGGACGGTGGCAGATGCTAACATTCCTGTGGCTGGGTGTAGTTTCCACGCCTGGAGTGAAGATTCAGGATGGGTTTTGTTTCAGTCACAAAAAGAACTCCATAAAACCAAACTCCATGCCAGGAGTACATTGTGGGCAGCTACTGCTTGGACTTTACAGCAAGGAAAAGCCACCTGCTCACGTGGGGTTTAACTAAAGTTCTCTAGCTTGCTTCATGCTTAAGCATCCTCCAAGCTTGTAGGAACCTACAGTAAAACTTGAAAGTGGAATGACGCAAAAGCTATTACAATTGTAGTCCCAAGGTACATTCTCTCACCATGTAGGTTGCATAAATGATAGAAAAAAAATCTGCAGGTGAAAAAAGGCTGAGGAACAGGCTAAAAAAAAGGACAGTCCCAGCATGAACTATAAATTGCCAGGCTCTACACTCAAGTAGAGTAAGATTATCTTTCCCTGGCTATGTATACACTGAACTGCTTCCTGTCTTGCCATGCTCTCAAAAAACATACTACTTAAGAGAAACGACTAGACACTAGTCCCAGCTCCAGGAGACAACACAGCACATTCCAGACCTCAGACTAATGTAGCTTTCATTCCCTGGTTTAGAAGTCAGAACCCATTTTCCACCACCTACCACTGGTCATGTGGGACACTTTTGCAAGCTTCTTCATAACATTATCAAGACGTGACTGAGTGTTGTCTAACTCATGAGAGAAGTCATCCAACATCCTGGGGACAAAGAAGAGGGGAGCTGTGTCAGGTAAACAACCTAAGCAACTTGTACTGATTAGTTAGCGATGTATCTCAAGACTTCACTACACACACAAGACTGTCACACACCTACAAAAAATAACCCAATCCCCAGGCAAAGTACAAAAACACATTTTAGGCTCTTATTTGATAGTGTCAAAACAAAAATTTGCTCAACCAGCAGTTTTACTCTGGTGGTAAATAAGAACTCATTTGGACTAATTTTCTAAGTGCTTTCCCTGATGTGTGAAGTCAGTACATAAGCCGGCTCTGGTGATCTCTGCAAGGTGAGCAGTAGATGATAAACATTTGATCCAAAATTAGCGAAACATGTTTAGGCTTTAACCTAACCATTTAAGGTCCAAAATGTCATACTGTTAAAAGCTTTGTCACTTACACGGAGCGCTTAATTATGTATCATAAGGGAATGTGATTTGGAATTGCTGTTAAGTATCCTACCATTCTGGTTTTAAATGCTGTAGGAAAGTTACTAAAACCTGTGTGGAGCTGTTTGATCACTGTCAAGAATCCATTTTGAGAGAGAAGTACATCCAGGATAAACTTATCACTTATTCTTGAACAGGTAAGATTTTAAAGCTTCCTTGACCAGTTGCTTTGCTTTTAAAAGGATTAAGCTTCTTCCCTCCCTGTCTCCCACCATTTTCCATTGTTTGTGGTCTCTTCCCATTCCATTTGTTCTGTTCTTTGCTCCCCCGCTCCCCTTTTTAAGAGAGCACAAGCCAACAGGGGATGGATCACTCAATGATTGCCTGTTCTGTTCATTCTCTCTAGGGCACCTGGCATTGGCCACTGTCGGAAAATAGGATATTGGGCTAGATGGACCTTTGGTCTGACCCAGTATGGCCACTCTTATGTTCTTATTGCTTTGCCTTGTTTACTAGTATGTAGTTACCTATGATGTTATCACTATAGTTCTTGAACCATTGTGTTAATTTGTGCTCTGGGAGCACAAAAGGACACTGCAGAGTTACACAAAAGATGTGTTTAAAGTTTCTCAGTAACAGTTAAACATAGGTATGAACCACTAGTCTTATTGAAAGTGAAACTGCTATCCGGTGTCACTGGAAACTCCAGATATACTATTTGATTAGAGAATACATACTTGGAAAGAAGACATCTAATTTATATATAAATGTATAGATGAAAACTGCTGCTGTGAGCTACCCTTTAATCCTTTGTGTGGGCAGAATTTTTTAGCTATGATTGAATAGCATTTGGGATCTCCTGTGTGTCACTAACCAGGCTGACAATATTATTCCAAAGCCACAGTCAGCCAATGATATACAGCTCTTGTCTTTTCTGGGGACAGGAGCACCAATAGTTACATTTTAGTGTTATCACCAGCCCTTCCCCATGTCTTATTCCTGAGAACTCCCACAGTCTGGGGTTTGTTTCTCAGCACTCACACTGCTTGTTCTTCCAGCTCCCCACCAATGCGCTGGGACATGTTCTTCAGCACCCCAATGCTGCCAGAGACCAGTTCCAATTGCTCATCCTGCTGCTCCACAATCAACTGGTGCCAGAGAGAAGGGAAACAAGCAATTAAAATCCAACATATAGTTGCAACTGGTTCAGAGCCCAATGCTCTGGCACATGCCTGTCCAAACTGGCAAGGCAGCAAGCAGAGTTTAGAAGTAGGCTTGAACTTCTAGTGACTAGTCCTGTAATTTAGAGGAATACTTAGTGTTGGTCAATCCTGAAGAATGACTGTCAAAGCAGCATGATTGGGTTCCACATTTGTCCCAGTAACTCCTTATCAAGTGTTCATTTGACAAGTAAAATGGAATTGTTCCCTATCAGCCTTGCACATTCAATGCGGGCTTAGAATCAAGATGGGTTCTTGCCATCTTGCATATCACCAGTAGGACAGTTCTGTAGGCTACTGCAAGCCTGATGTCATATTTGTGCAATCCCATTACCTTTAATGGGTGGAAGAGACTGGATCTTAGTAGCAATTCTGATGATGCATATGATGGAACAGAATCCAGATCGCATTGCAGAGTCAGCATAGCTAAGAGTTAACATAAGTACAAAACTAGTCACTAAAATGATCGGATATGACTGAATCAGGGATGGCAAGGTATTTACCAAAGGTGTGTTTTACTGTACCGGGCAACATTAGTTAGTCCCTCTTTAAAGCATTTTCTATTTAAAAAAATTTCATTAAGGCACATGTTACACTTCATTTTAGTTACATATTCAAGTTGTGGTTACTTAAGGCAGATTTAGGGCTTAACAAATAAATAAAATTGCTGTGATTAATGTAATTAGGTTACTGAAGACTGGAATGTCTGTATACATTTTGATTGGATATTTTCTCAAGGAAGATATGTAATATTGAAAACATTCAATGACAAGAATGCAGAGGGGCAGGCTTGAGGCACTGAGCAGTCAGAAGTGATAGAGCGGCAGACTGCCAGTCCAGGGCCATTAAGGCATGCAGCATTCTGTAGTAGCAGACCAACTTTGATGTTGTGGATATTCCTGTTCTGAATGGACGTATCCCCAGTTTGAAAAGATTTGCTCTATGGTTGCTGAACTTCCTGGACCCTGTCCTAAACCAATTTCTCCTAGGGAACTGCCAACTCTGCTCTGAATACACTAACTAAATAGTTGTTAGATAAGACTATACCATTTGACTTTGGTGCACAAACAAATTTTAAAGATCTATCAGCTGCCCTTTACAAGGTCAGAACGTAGCTGGGATTATTCAATCACTTAAAGAGCTGAAAAGTTTGTTTGGAGATGCTTGTTACCAATACCTCACTTCATTCCTTCCAAGAACCTATGCTTGGGTGGACAGTTACATATAAACTTGGGCACTGTCCAGACAATTCTTCAAATGAGCTTGCAGCAGTCAAAGTAAGCTACCCTACAATGGTTCCTAGCAGCGTTAATGATTGATTTTCTATTAAATCATAAATGTATTGTCAAAAGCACAAAGAAGTAGACATTACCGTATAGAGCTATCTTATAGTTTTATTTTACTTAGCTGTAACTGTTACATCCATCTTGATTAGCCTATCTTAAGCAGGCAGAGCCCATAATACTAGTGGTTTGTATCCCACACTGGCTCCTCAGCTAATTCAAGGTTCTGGTCCTAATCTTTAATGCACTAAATCAGAGTGCTCAGATAAGGTGATGAACATAGTACAAATAGTACATAGTACAAATACTTAAGGGGGAGGTTCAAGCCTCACTAACGCAAAGAACATTTCAGTTCAGTGGCACCTGCTCTCAGGGGAGAAGCTGAAATTGTCCATGCCCATGTGTGAATTCTCAGCATCTATAGCCAGTCTCAGTGGAAGGTCTCTGACATTAAGTCTTCTTACTACAGGTGATCAGAATGAACCTAAGCCAAGCTGACTTTAGGGGAAAATGGAAAATCCATCTCCTCCTCCCCTCCCCCGCCCCCAAAAATAAAATAATAAAGTCCTAGTGCAATAGAAGCTAAAAGCACACATCAAAGGACAAGAGAGGCTAAGATCGGGGTTCATTACAGATCAATTTAATACACACAAATTTTACAGTGAAGGGTCCTCTTAGGGGTGGAATAAATGCATCCGTTTTTTCTTTGAGAGATGAAGAAAAGTCAATGCAGCAGTATCAAGGGGTATTTAATGCATCAGCCCTAAATGAACCTTTATTCAAGATATATGTAAAAGCAGAGTCTTTTTTGAACTGGAATGGAGGAATCTGGCAGAATCAGGTATTCTCCCCACTCCCTTACGTTTCTATGCTTTACAAAGGATTTCATCAGCATGTGGCAGCTTCCAGATGGGTTATATCTTTTAGTTGCCTTCCACACACACCTATACATCCAAGCCCTAAACTTTAAGTTTGTGAGCCAAAACGTACACACCAAAACCACCTTAAGCACAACAGTCAATATTTAGGTGCCAATAACAGGTATGTAGGCAACAACATTGAAAACAAATGGGCTCTCATTGTATTGAGCACAGAAGATGGCTCATGGCTGGATGTTTCGAGACTTTTGGCTATTACTGCCAGTACCACCATCTCCTTACACGGCCATTAGCAAGGGATCCATGTGCACGATCATGCAGGAAATACTATACCTGCTGCTGAGCCTGTTGCTCCTCAATGAAGTGTGAATTGGCTAACTGTAGCTCTCGATCCAAACCGCCATATTTATCTGATCCAGAGCTCCAACTCTGACCTCCACTTTCTCCCAGCAGTGCCTGTATACATACACACAGGAGAATTTAATCAGTAAGACACTCCAATATATGGTCATGTCACCTCACCTAAAACCAAGTTCCAAGTGGAAGCAGGAAAGACGATTAAGTAATACCCCATGTTACCCAACTCAGTATATACAACAAGTCACTTTCGTTCCATCTCTATTCCTATTCCAGCAGCAGATTGCTGTAGTTGCTGGCCCTTAAACAGGAGAATGGATGGAATGTTGGGGGGGTCATACGGTTCTGTGACTGCTGCAATTGGGCAGCTGGAGAGAAGGAACAAATATGAAGAAAAGTGCATTGAGAGCAGCTAGACCCACTTGGTGAGGAGAGAGAAGAGGACCAGGCACTGAAAGAAGGTTAACAGGTGCCAGATAAAGTGAGAGCATGGAACAGAAGGTCAGGGAAGGGGAAAAACAGAAGACACGCAGTAAGCCAACAAAGAATAAACATTGTCCCCAAAAAGGTTGAGTACATTGCTGGTTCTCTCCAGTGACTAAGAAATTAGTTCTGGCTAGGACTTCCTGGTTCAGGGGTGGCAATCCTAGTGTTATTTAACCTGGTATGAGAGTTAAGTCAACTTGCAACCTTATACCTATATTCCAGATTGTCAATGAACTTTTTCTAATAAGGCAGCATTCAAGAGAACTCACTTACACCATGATGCTAATATCTCAGTGGTGACTTGCTACTGGTCACTGCTGTCATAACTTCCTTCAGACTGAAAAGGGGTTGGGGGAAGAAAGGAACTCCAAAAATAAACTGCAGAATCCAGTAGCTTCCTTCAGGAGTTATCAATGCTAGGATTGGGTCATACTGTTCTATCTCAGCTGCATTCTTACTCCTGGCAACATACAGATACTGGGAAAGTAGGGAAATAAAGCTTTAAGGGCGGGCATAAGTGAGTCATGACTATACTTTAAATGTTGCATTAACCATATAATGATCAGGCCTGCCTTCTCCTCACCCGCCTGTCTGGAAATTTGACACTGATGAATCTACTGAAAAGTCCGAAATGTATCTTCTGTATTAAGTGATTTATGCATGCAGACACTTCAGTAGAGGCTGCTCTGGAGGTCACTCTGCAATTACTTGTAACTCTCTCCTGCTAGTGGAGGGGCAGGCAAACTTTTTGGCCTGAGGGCCACATTGGGTTTCCAAAATTGTATGGAGGGCCGGTTAGGGAAGGCTGTGCCTCCCCAAACAGCCAGGCATGGCCCAGCCCCCACCCCCTATCCAACCCCTCTGCTTCCCCCCTGCCCCACCCAACTCTCCCTGTCCCCTGACCTTCCACACCTGACTGCCCCTGGGGACCCTTGCCCCCATTAACCCCCCCTCCTTCCTGACTGCTCCCCTGGTATCCCTGTCCCCATTAACCCCCCCCTCCATTCCCCATCCTCTGACCGCCCTAACCCCTATCCACACCACCCTGAACTCCCCTGCCCTCTATCCAACCCCCCATGCTCCCTGCCCCCTTACTGCGCTGCCTGGAGCGCCAGTGGCTGGCGGTGCGACAAGCTGCTGTGCCGCCCGGCTGGAGCCAGCCACGCCACTGCACAGCACAGAGCACCGGGTTAGGCAGCGGCTCTGCAGCTGCGCTGCCCGGCAAGAGCTTGCAGTCCTGCCACCCAGAGCATTGCACCAGCCGTGCAGTGAGCTGAGGCTGCAGGGGAGGGGCCAGGCAGGAGGGTCCTGCGGTCCGGATGTGACCCGCGGGCCGTAGTTTGCCCACCTCTGTGCTACTGTAAGTCATGTCTACTTACATTACAAGCAGACAAGTTGATGACCACGTCCTTTACACCAACTCTTTCCTGACTCCTCTTATAATGAGGCTTTGCTATGTTTACATAGTCAAATAGATATTGCTAAACATAGGATTAGAAGCCGTGAATGCTAGAATTACAGTCCTCACAACCTCTCCGGCTTCAGATTCTCCTCTGAAAAATGGGGATTTTTTTTTCCCTCTGAGGAGCAATGCAAGACTGTATGGTTTATAAGCAGTTTGAGGCAAAAATCACTGAGTAGTAACTTATTAGCTTATGTGAAAGGTTTGGAAAGCAACCAGAGCAAACTGTGCCCGCAAGAATAAGTGTTTTCACTGATTACTAGCCACAAAAAGATCACATGCCAGCAAAATGGACACTTTTCCAGTTTAAGATAGATATTTGTTTTTTTGTAAACAAAGCTTCTGGTGGAAACAGGGTAACAAGATGCATGCTGGCAGTTAGGTGTTTAAACTGGCATTTATTTTGTTTAATACCAATGTACTCTACCTTAAGGTACATGAGCCCCTTAGCCAAGTCAGTGTACTTTCATCTAACATGTAGCTTAAGTTAGCAGCTACTATACTTGAACTATAAGGAGTTATCAACCATCTCGAAGGATTCTTGTGTCCACTTTAGCCAGCAGTCTGCTATTGGTTCTCACCTTCCTGTTTTTTCTTTCAGACAGTGCCTGAACAGATGAGTTTGACATCTGATCCTTCATTTCCTGTTTATTCAAGAAAAAGGTATATGATCAAATTTTAAATGGATTGCCAATTTGCTAAAATAATGGCTTAAACAAACATACATAGCAAGTTTTATGGAGGACTAAAGAGCCCTTTACTTACAAGCATGTGCTTTAAGAAATCCTGGAAGACTAAAGTAATATTACAATTCACAGTTGCCCTAATGCTAAGGAAAATGTTAATGAAGCCTAGAACCCTTGTGGCAGAATATTTTGAAAAGGTTAGTGATTTACTACTGGTTTTGCTCCTCCCCATTCTCCACTGCTGTAACAATGCTTGATTTGTGTAGCTGATTGAAAAAATATTTTCTTAAGTGGTATGTATGAAGGACTGTGTTCTAGCTGTTGGAAGTTAGATCTCCTGCATTTCCCCCCCCCCCCGCCCCCTGTGTGCCACTTTGGACAAGCCACGTTTTGTGCTTGAATTTCTCCTCTATAAAATGGGTATCATTCTTTCTTAAGTCACTATACAAGTGCATGGAAGTCTTCTTTGACCAATGAGCACTTTGAGCTCCTTAGATGAAAGCCACTATGATAGCAGATGACTTTGAAGTCTAGAAGTTGCATTCAGAACAGTCTATACTGAAAGTGAGACCCCCTGCTACCACGGATATATAAAAGTGAAGTAATGGCCAAATATGATAACTAAAGTGGATGATAATCTCAAGGCTGGCACAAATGTCGGATATCACCAGAATATCTGGTGCGTTCTTGCTCCAGACAGCGACTGATAAAAGCCACATAAGATACCCCAAATATACTGGGACCTCCCCAAAGAATTACTTTTCACAAGACAGCACTCTAAGTAAATCTGTTAGAAATGCTAACTAAAGCTGTAGTCAACTATGTAAATTAAAATGTCTAAGAATTAAAAATAAAAAGCATTGCTCAAAAATAAGACCATGCTAGTGATTTATGTCTAGAGGTGTTCTTGAGCTGGGTTATTTTCACATTAGTCAGACTGCAGCCTGGACAAGAGGGGACAGTGTGAATTTACCTGATTTACTCAAGATAAAAAAACAGACTATATAAAGGCAGCCACATAAGCATGGATCCACTACCTTTGTCTGACAGTTTCAGGATTAGTTCCCTAGAAAGCAGGCTTCTACTTCAGGAAGAATTGTAGTTAGATAACAATAGTGCAAATAGGGTAAGAACTCAGTTCCCCATAAGAACACAATTTGGTGGCTTGCTATGAATATCAACTAAGAATCTTGTCAGAACCAGCAGAAATTAAGGTTTGTGTTAAAATATTAAACAATGGGGGGGGGGGGGGAATCTTAAATCCAATTGAGAGAGAAATTCTTAACTAGCATTTACTTATCAGATGTTAACACTCTCTCAAACACTAAAGTTTCCCTTCTCCTTCAATTACTTTCTGGTTGTTAAAATCCCTCCCAACCAAATATGAATCTATCCTACTCCTTCAGGCCCAACTTAAACCCAGCTGACCTTTTCTCCATACTTATAGTAGTAACTGCTGCTCCCATTATAGTTGAACTGCATTTCCATTCTAACTTTGTTTTCAGTTACAGTAACTCCTCACTTAAAGTTGTCCCGGTTAACATTGTTTCGTTGCTGATCAATTAGAGGACATGTTTGTTTAAAGTTGCGCAATGCTTCCTTATAATGTTATTTGGCAGCCCCCTGCTTTGTCCACTGCTTGCAGAAAGAGCAGCCTGTTGGAGCTAGCTGGTGGGGGCTTGGAACCAGGGTGGACTGGCAGCCCCCCTAAGTTCCCTGTGCGGCAGTCCCGCAGCAGGCTATCAATTGCTGGGCAGTTGAGCTGTCCCTCCCTTCATTGCAATGTGCTGCTCCTGCGAGCCTCCTGCTTGCTGTGCAAGGGGGGTTGGGGTGTGTGCTAATGTCAGAGTGTCCTCCTCTTCCCCCCACTCCTTTACCCCATCTCCACAGAGCAGGAGGGACACATGACAGGGCTCTGGACGGAGGGAGCTTGCTGGCAGCAGCTGCTGTCTCAAGTTGCTGATCTACTTAAAAGGCAGTGTACTTAGAGTGGGGTCAGCATGTGTGTCACTCACTCTCTCTCACACACACAGTCTCTCTGCTATGCTGTCTCCCCTCCCTACATTCGAGCTGCCTTGTAGAACGTGAGGCTACATTAACAATGTGTTAACCCTTGAGGGGCTCAGCCGAGTGCTAGTTCATCATTTAGCAGTAAGGCATTTCCTGGGAAATATCCCACCCTCTGATTTCACCACCTCAACCAAGCTTAACAATCATCATTGCTGCGTACAGTATTAAATGTGTGTGTGTATATACATACATACATACATACACACACACTTTTTTTTTTTTTTTTTTTTTTTTTTAAGAGAGAGACTGACTTTTGTCTGGCGAAAAAAGTTTCCCTGGAACCAACCCCCACCCCCCATTTACATTAATTATTATGCGGAAACTGGATTCACTTAACATTGTTTCGCTTAAAGTAGCATTTTTCAGGAACATAACTACAACGTTAAACGAGGAGTTACTGTATTTAAAGCTTTGTGAAAGTGATCTTTTAGGTCAAAATTTTCCAGATGCGTGTCTGCCCAAAGGTGAGCTTTTTAAAATCTAAGCAAGAACTAAGTCATTGGTGAATAAAAACCTCCAATTCTCCCTTAGTAAACTAAACACTAGTAACCTTTAACGGATATAATGCCAGAACAGCTGAGAGTAGGAAATTGATGTCTGGTATGTAAATAGCATGACATGTCTTTGCACAGTTCAGTGAAAGTTGATTTTGATTTGAATCTTTGAAAGTTTGCACTTCAAATATGCACAGCACAATTAAAACAACATTCAAAGCTAGACTCATTTCCTCTCCGCCTCTTGCTGTAGTAGAGGCAGTTATGTTGATTCTTCATTTCCAGCTGCTTCTATAGGTCCAGATTGTTCATTGCAAAGAGGAACCTGGACACTTGTAGAAGCAGCTGGAAGTGAGGAGAGCCAGTAGTAGAAGCCAACCACCTTTTTGCAGACAACAAGCAAGTGCTTCACTGACCACGGCTTGGGAACCCTTATCAGAGAGATTATGCTGAAAATGAGGGTGGTGAGAAATCAGGTAACAGTTTGATATTAGACTGACACTGGAAACTAATTTCCAGTACTTTGAAGTGGCCATGGGCTTTTACACACTATCACTGAAAATCCCCTCCACAAACAATAAGCAGCCAAGCACCTTACCCTGACCACCTGCCGTGTGCTTGTGATGAAGGCTTTTCTTACACCCAGCTCAGTTGCATCAAGGTTGAATTTCCGAGGATTTGCTTCAACAATGCGTAAATAAGTCAAGGAAATAATTTAACTGGTATTCAGCATTTATGAAGATCTAGCTATCCTGGCTGCCTGGAAAGGGCTCCCCAACTCCTATAATTCATAAGTGTAATTGTACCTTTCCAAAACTTTGGTTAGTAAAGTACTAGATAAATTATGTTCCTATCACAACCACTTAAAAGAAAAAAGTGTGGAAGGAATGCATTCTACAGGACATGTATCAGCATGCAGAGTCTCCTTCTCCCGCTTGAATATTTGGGTTCTCTGATCTGTACTGTGTAGCACTTTCAGAAGTTTAAACTTAAAATGAAGGAAAAAGACTAGCATCCTCCCAAAATCATCTAATATAAGCTTGATTGCATGAAATAAATTTATCCAACAGAAGGTGCTTAAGTGAACAGAACATTTCATTTTAAATTGCATCTTATTGGGGAGGAAAACATAAGGAACACTTTTGCCTGAAAGTACTTTGTTTGAAATTTGGGATCTAACTGACTGTTGTCTAAACTAAACTGTACATAGTGCAATTTAATGCAAACAGTAACTCCAATGAGAAATTTATATAGAGTGTGATGCATATTTGAGACTGAACTAATCCTTAAGAGCCATAATGATCTCTTGGCTAGCTATTATGTAGGTCCATATATGATTTATCCAACTGACTGCAGTGGCCCCATAGAAAGGATATTAATAGTTTCATCCAAGTCTTCCAGGTCCCACTCAATGCTCCGCAGGTTATTCCTGAGCTCATTGGTGGTCCAGTCAACTTCTTCTCTTGTAGCTGTGGAGGGATCTTGCAGGAGCTCTGTCCATCTCTGGAACAGCCCCTGTGCAGTGTTCACTGCTTTTTGTACCTCCCTGCAATTGAAAAGAGGGGAAGGTAAAGGATGATTAGCATGTATTCTCTGTATTGACAAGACTAAGGGCTTGTCCAGATGGAGAAACTGACTAATCTATTAGTTATACCAGTCTTTTCTCTATGTAGATAAACCCTGAGCAGGGAACTGTTGTCACTAATTTTCACTGTAAACCTTCCTGCATCAATAATCCCCAGAACTTCTTCCTCCGAACACTCTTTTCTTTTGAAAATGAAAGATTCTTCACATACAGTGGATGCGAAACAGTCAACATCTTGTCTCCTCCCATAGTGTGGTAGAAATTACCACATTATGAAATTCTGTCACAGCAAACCCAATGATTGAAGGGACCCAAGCCTTTAGCCAATTGCTGCCAAATAACAGAATCTTCACACATTTCCCTAGTAGTTACATTGGTACATCAATACTCTTCTCTGGATGGAGGAACCAGCCCACACTTTGCATTTCTATTGCATCTTTCATCTCAGGACTGAGAAGAACCGAGGTAACACTGTAGTATCAAGTGCACATTATGTTCTCCCTACTAGAATAGTTTCACCTCACATCAAAGGCAATAAGAATTGCAGCAACTGTCCCCCTAGAGTTTTTACATGGATTGTATTCAGTGTGGCCCTGGTGATTTTAATATTACCATTCAGATATGGTAGTTTATTAAACTGAACTGCCTTTGCTGTTGCTGCAAGCTCCATGGAAAAGTGCATTCAATTTATTTCATGGAGATGCACACTTTGCTGATAGCACTGTGACTATCACTTAACAAGTAGCAAATATCTACCAGCAAATACTGCTAGCCTTATTCCTGTGGAATATCCGTTCAAATTAATGGGAAGTCAGGACATGACAAGCATGACCAGTCGTAAGAGCAAACTACAGTGGGCAAACTACGGCCCGCGTCCTCATCGTCAGACCTTTTAATCCATCCCTCAAGGGCCCGCTGGGGAGCGGGGTCAGGGGCTTGCCCCCCTCCATGCATGCCATGGCTCTGAGTGGTTCCCGGAAGCAGCAACATGTTCCCCCTCTGGCTCCTACACGTAGGGGCAGCCAGGGGGCTCTGCACACTGCCCCAGTCCCAAGCGCCAGCTCTGCAGCTCCCATTGGCCGGGAACCGCAGAGCTGTCAGCGCCTCGCCTCCGTGTAGGCGCTGGAGGGGGCACATGCCGCTGCTTCTGGGAACTGCTTGAAATAAGCGCCACCCGGCGCCTGCACCCCTGACCTCCTCCCACGCCCCAACCCCCTGTCTCAGCCTGGAGTCCCCTCCCATACTCCAAACTCCTCTGCTCCATCCCCAGCCCCCAATTTCGTGAGCATTCATGGCCCGCCATACAATTTCTATACCCAGATGTGGCCCTCAGGCGAAAAAGTTTCCCCACCCCTCCGTAAGAGGCACATCCCTTCTCCTCCTCCCCTTATTTGTCGCCTATCACATGGCCTAGCATATTTTGGGGCACTAAACATAATAGCTTTGACTAAGGATACAGTACAACTTATTTGCTTTCCTCAGTCACAAGTAAACTTTGTTAATGGAAGTTTGGGTTTCTTTATTTTGTACCCAAACATATTTGGAAAGTACCAACAAGTGGAAATTTCAAGTAAGGTTGGATGTTCATAGATGAGAAGTTACACAAAAGAAAAATCTACTTAAATAAGATGAGCTAAAAAGCTATCCTCAGAGCTAAATTTGAAGAGGACAAAAGCAGAATTAGTGTCATCTGAGGGGACAGCATGAGAGAAGCTACATCTCCTTTCACACACCATGAGCAAGTCTCCACACTTCTAGACAAACTCTCTAAAGTTTGCCTGGACATAGCCCAGTTCCCAACCCAGAGCATTTTGTTTTCTCTCTCATAACACCATTTCATCCTTGAAGCAAGTTTCACTTTCACCCTCCACGTTGGTGAACTCTTACTCACCTCTTACCATGTTCACAACTGCTTTTTCCTTCTTTTGCTTCCCTCTGTATCTCTCAACAATCCCTGAACTCTGTTCAGCTTGTCATGATTTCATCAGGACTTGAAATTAAGATAATTGTTCCAGTGCAAGTTTTCAGTTTATTTAACCCCTTCTAGCCCAAACTCTTTGCAACCACATACAAGTCATGCCACATCAATGGCTCTTAGACAATATTGCCCTATGCCAGCAGCTCTCCCTAAATATTGATCTCCCTCATTCCAATTTTTTGTACCTTATCCCCAATTTGAGATCTTTGGCCCTCAGCATTCATGAAGCCAGTGAGCCACTGACTCACAGACTAGCATCATATTAATTATATCCCTCCAACATCTCCTGAACTCAGAGCCTGTTCCTTCCACCTGCCTACTTGTCTCCTTAGGATAGACCAGTGGCTCTCAACCTCTCCAGACTACTGTAATCCTTTCAGGAGTCTGATTTATCTTGTGTACCTCAGGTTTCACCTCACTTGAAAACTATTTCCTTACAAAAATCAGACACAAAAATACAAGTGTCACAGTACATTACTACTGAAAAATTCTTATTACCACCAGAGTGCACAGCCCCCCCCCCCCGCCCCCTGAGCGCTGCTTTACCGCGTTATATCCGAATTCATGTTATATCGGGTTATATACATATATATATATATATATATATATATATATATATATATACACACACACACACACAC